CCCTGCTCCTGCCCCCTCCTGCCTTTCCCCACACTGTTGTATGTGTCCATTGGTTACGCATACATGCATATAAGTTTTTTGGTTTATTTATTCCCACCCGCCTCATTCCCTTTGAGGTTTATTAGTTTAACAACCAATTTGTACTTATTTTATTTTATTTTTTTAAATCTTCACTGGAGGATATTTTTGCATTTAGCTTCAGATAGAATGGGAGGGAGAGAGGGGGAAGAAAGAGGGAGAGAAACATCGATGTGAGAGAAAAACATCAACTGGTTGCCACCCGCACGACCCCAACTGGGGCAGGGACAAACTGCAACCGAGGTACGTGCCCTTAGTGGGAACCAAACCCAGGATTCTCTTGTCTGCAGGCTGATGCTCTAACTGCTGAGCCAAACCAGCCAGGGCCAATTTGTACTTCTTAATCCCTTCACCTTTTTCACCCATTCCTCCAACCCCCTCCCATCTGGCAACCAACCCCCTCCCATCTCTGTATGTATGAGTCTGTTTCTATTCTGCTTGTTCATTTTGTTTGTCGATTCAATTGTTGATAGATACGTATTCATTGCCATTTTATTGTTCATGTTTTGGTCTTTTTTTTTTTTTTTTTCAAGAAAGCCCTTCAACATTTCATATAATACTGGTTTGGTGGTGATGAACTCCTTTAGCTTTTTCTTGTCTGGGAAACTCTACATGTCCATCAATTCTAAATGATGGCTTTGTAGGATAGAGTAATCTTGGTTGTAGGTTCTTGCTTTTCATCACTCAAAATAATTCTTGCCACTCCCTTCTGGCCTGCAAAGTTTCTTTTGAGAAATCAACTGACAGTGTTAGGAAAGCTCCCTTTTAAGTAACTAACTGCTTTTCTCTTGCTGCTTTTAAGATTTTCTCTTTGTCTTGAACCTTTTGCATTTTGATGATGATGTGTCTTGGTGTGGGCCTCTTGGGGTTCATCTTGTTTGGAACTTTCTGTGCTTCCTGGACTTGTATATCTGTTTCCTTTACCAAGTTAGGAAAGTTTTCTATCATTATTGTTTCAAATAGGTTTTCTATTTCTTGCTCTCTTTTCTTCTCCTTCTGGCACCCCCATGATGCAAATGTTGGAACACTTGAAGTTGTCCCAGAAGCTCCTTACACTATCCTCATTTTTTTGGATTCCTTTTTCCTTTTGCTGTTCTGATTGGGTGTTTTTGCTTCCTTATATTCCAAATTGATGATTTGCTTCTTGGCTTTACCAACTCTACTATTGAATCTCTGTAAATTATTCTTTATTTCAGTGCCTCCTTCATTTCCGACTGGTCCTTTTTTATGTTCTTGAGGCCCTCACTAAGTTCATTGAATGCCCTTATAAGCAGTGTTTTGAACTCTGCATCTGTTAGATTGCTTATCTCCATGTTGTTTAGTTATTTTCCTGGAGTTTTTTTCAGTTCTTTCATTTGGGACATGTTTCTTTGTCTCCTCATTTTGGCTGCCTCCCTGTGTTTGTTTCAATGTATTAGGTACAGTTTCTATGTCTCCTGGGCTTCCTAGGGTGGCCTATTGTTGTAGGTGTCCTGTAGGGTCCAGTGCCACAGCCTCCCTTGTCTCCCAGCTGGGTTCTTGCGGTGCACCCCTCGTGTGGACTTTACACCCTTCTGTTGTAATTGAGTCTTGATTGCTGTTGGCATGTCAATGGGAAGGTTTTACTCAGGCTGATCAGCTGCAAGGACTGGCTGTGCCACTACCTTGGATGATCAACTGTTCAGGGACCCACCACACAGAGCAAGAATTACTTCAGCAAGGAGTCAGAACCCACTGAGTCCACTCCTTGAGTTTGTCAGTTGTGGAGGTGATTGGGTGGTATTGCTTCGCTGCAGTCTGACACTGTCCACTGGGTGTCCTGGCTCTGGAGCAAGATCAGCCACTGCCTGTGTTCTACCCAGGGCCACCAGGCATAAGCTACAAAGCCATCTGCACATGGCTGCTTCTTGTGCTGGGCTTGGAGGTGCCCAGGCAAAGCCACATTGTGAACCAACGCTGGCTGCTCCTAGTGCTGGGCCTGGGGCCACTTAGTGAGAAGTATGAGGCTTGCTGAGGCCAGATGCTGCAGAGGATTTAGGAAAATCTGAAATAGGAGCCAAGACAGGCCATTCCTATGGTAAAACCTCTGGGAACAGCTTGGGTGGACCTGAAAGTTGGGTGGGGCAGTGCCTCAGGGAATCACCAGAGTGGGGCAAACCGTGTGAGTTAGGTTGCTGGAGTCCCAGGTATGGTACTAGTTTGCTGACCTCATTGGGGAAGGTCTTACCCAAGGAACAACGGCCTCCACCAGCACATCTGTCCAGAGAAAGCTGCCTCTCCAGCCCTCACCCCAATGCCAAACTCAGTTCTTCCCCTTATGTCTCTGGTGCTTTTTGAGCTGACTCACCCATGCTGGAGCTCAGAGGGAGCAAGTCCGAGTAAGTCTGTGCATGGGCCCTTTGAAAGGAACTGCCTGGGGCTCCAACAGCCTCAGCCTCCCTCAGACTCAGTTTCCATTGTTTTTTTTACAGTCAGAAGTTATGGGGACTTCTCTTCCTGGCACTGGACCCCTGAGCTGGTGGCCTGGTGTGAGATGGGGACTTCTTGCTCCACAGGGAGGACTTTTGCAGCTGAGGTATCCCTCCTAATTTTTATCTGCCACACGTGGGTGTGTGACCAGCCCCTCTGCGCCTCCGCCCTTTTTACCAATCTTGATGTGTCTTCTTGTTTAATTTTTCTGCAGGGCTTCCATTCAGCTTGATTTCAGGTGGTTTTGAAAGATGGTTGTTCTGTAGTTTAGTTGTAATTTTGATGTGGTTGTGGGAGGAGATGATACAATATTTACTTACACTGCCATCTTGACCAGAAGTCTCTATCAAAATCTTAATAGCCAACTAATCCTACAATTCATATGGTTTTGTAGGGGACCCCAAATAGACAGAACAGTCTTGTAAAAAAAAAACAAGGTTAGAGAACTTACACATCTCAACTTTAAAACATACTACAAAGCTAGAACAATCAAGATCATGTGGTATTGACAGAAAGATAGACATATATATGTCAATGTAATGGAATTGAAAGTCCAGAAATAAATCCATAAATCTATTACTTATTGATTTTCGACAAGAGTGTCAAAACCATTCAATGAGAAAAAATAGTCTGTTCAATAAATGGTGTTAAAATGACTGGATTTCTACATACAAAAGAATGAAGTTGGACCCCAACCTCACACCATTACAAAAATTAACAACATAGATCAAAGATTAAATGTAAGAGATAAAACTATGAAACTCTTAGAAACAAACATAGATGTAAATCTTTGTAACCTTAGACTAGGCAATGCTTACTTTGATATGACATCTAAATAGATAAATAAAACTTCACCAAAATTTAAAAATTTTGTGCATCAAAGGACACTGTCACAAAAGTGAAAAGACAACCTACAAAATGGGAGAGAATATTTGCAAATTGTATATCTGATAAGTGTTTAGTGTCTAGAATATATGAAGAACTCTAACTACTAAAGAACAAAAACAAAACAACTCAATTAAAAACTGGACAAAGAACTTGAATAGCTATTTCTCCAAAGAAGACATACAGATGACCAATAATCCCATAAAAAGATGCTCAATTCCCCATCAGGGAATTGCAAATAAAAATCATTTTGTGTCCACTGAGATGGCTAAACAAAAAAGACAGAGAATAACAAGTGTTGGTGGAAAAAAATGGAACCCTAATGCATTGCTGGTGGGAATATAAAATGGTACAGTTGCTGTGGAAAACAGTTTGGTGGTTCCTCAAAAACTTAAACATAGAAGTATCCTGAGACCAAACGACTTTACTCATCCACTCAGAAGGCTTTGAAAACAGGTACTCAGAGATAGTTGTATAAAAATGTTCATAGCATCCCTGTTTACAATGACCAAAGGTGGAAAAAACCTAAATGTCCATCAGCGATGAATGGATAACCAAATATGGTATATCTATAACAGTGAATATTATTCAGCCATAAAAGGAGTGAAATGATGTAACATGTTAGTGTGGATAAATCTTGAAAACATTATGCTAAATAAAAGGAGTCTCTCTCTCTCTTTCTACCTCTCTATTTCCCTCCCTCCCACTTGCCATGGGGCCCTGCTATCACATAATAAGGGAGCCCAGGCCACATGCAGAGGCCACTTGTGAGTATTGCCACTGACAGCAGCATCATGACAGCAGCATCAGCCACCAGATGTGTGAGAGAAAAGGGTCCAGTTGAGGGGCATGGGCCAACCCTGTTTGCGGGTGCTTCATTCTGATCTTTTGGGATGTAGGACACATTATCATTGTTTAAACCAGCGATTTTCAATCTTTTTTTTTTTTTTTTTATCTCATGGCACACATAAACTAATTAATAAAGTTCTGTGGCACACCAAAAAATATATTATATATTTTTTCCAATCTGATATTTTTGATTCATTCTTCACACTGAACAGCTATTGTTGTGTTGACTTGTCATTTTTTGCAGCATACTGGCTGAAAGTCGCTGACTTAAACTGCGATGTTTTGAAATGTTGCTCTTCACCAAAAATTAACTAACAGAGAGCCCTCCTTTATCTTCATCTCCTTCCCCAAATAACCACTGGCTCCAGGACCCTGGATAGCTTCTCCCGAACGCCTCTTGGCCCCCAACACTCTCCTTTAAAAAAAAAAAAAAAGTGTATTTTCTCTCTAAGACCTGCCTGAAGTGTTTTCCTGGAACTGTGCAATTTCCTTTTGGAGAAAGGAAGCAGGAGAAATCTGCATAATCTCGTATGCTTTCTGAGCTCCAGGAGCTTCCTCAGAGCCAGTGACAATGGGAAGAAACCACTTCAGAGATGCTGACATCACGAGATCTGTGCAGTACTGCCCACTTGGAGGTACTGCTCCCATGCCCAGGGACAGGTGAGATACCAAGGCAGAGAAGGGAAGCTGGCTTGAGCCTGCTGCACCAACAGACTACCACCTCCACCTGGAAGGCATACCTTTGTCCAGCACAGGGCCGAAGATTGCCAGGCTGTTTTTGATGGTGGTGCAGTTCCACCGGCGGCCTCGGAACTGGTGCTGGCACTCCTCAATGCTGATCCTGATGCCCTCTGCCACGCTGGGCATGATCTCCACGTAGTTCCGACAGAATCGCAATTGTTTGGGTACTAAGCCTGGTATGCTGGCACAGAGGATGGGCTGCATGCTCAGGGATGAGTACTGGGGCCCAACAGCCAGTGACCTGGGGGAGAAGAGCAAGGAGACCTGGTGAGTGGAAGAGCTAGCCTGGTAGCTGGTGAAACAAGAGCAGAAGCCAGGTCTGCCCTGGAGGGATCATGTGGGCCTTTTCCTTCGGGGCACTTGTGCATTCCAGGGCGAGACATGCTTCCACCCTGGAGGTAGCCTGTCCCTACACTGTACCTGAGATTTAGCACAAAACCTCAAGATGTGCCTTCGAAGTGGTGGGAAGTAAATCAAGGGAGAGTGGAGGCCACCTACTATCTAGAGAAGGGGCTGCTGGTCTAGGGCAGGAGTGAGGGTAAGTGGGCAAAGCAGTGGATGAATCACACACACCCATGCCAGCCCAACAGAAATAGAATATGTGTCCCAAGGAAAATGTGCTCAAGAATATTTACATGACTGTGATCGTGAGCACAAACCTGGAAGCCACTGCATGTGCAGCATGGGAATGTGGGTAACAGACAGAATTTCTGCAGCAGAATGCTGCTTGGAGACAGAGAGGAGTAGGGTACAGCTGAGAGACCTGACACAGACACTTGGGCTCCATTTCTCTAAGACAAAAGATGGTCATATCATGGGTGGGCACAGAAACCAGGGCAGATGTTCCCTCATGCACATGGGAGGATGGATCTGACTTGGGCACAAAGAACATTTCTTAGGCTGCAGAATGGTCTCCACTACCCACAGGTGCCTGAATTTAAATGAAGTAAAATTTCATAAAAACAGAGAACTTGGTTTCTTAGTCAACCAGCCACATGTGGCCCAAGGCTACCATGGTGGAGGGTTAGATATGGGACATTTCAGGCCTTGTGGAGAGTTCTGGACCACAGTGGACTAGGATGACAGAATTCTCTGTGTTTGATGGGGGTGTTGATTACACATGTGTTTACATGTCAGAACTGGTTGGACCATTTTCATTTTACTGTACGTAACTGCAACTCAGTTTCAAAAAAACATCAGGTCCTCTGCAAAAGGAGGGAGAAGGAACTTCTCTAATCTAACAGATGATACACAGTCCTGCCATCTATGGATTTATCAATTCCATAATAGGCACTCCATCATTCTGCCACCATAGACATGTACATCTCCATAGTGGGTGCCCCACTATTCTGCCATCTGTGGACACATTCATCTCCACATGGGTTCCCTGTGGTCCTGCCATCTGTGTACATTTCAGTAGTGGGTGCTCCCTTGCCCTGCATAGATGGGCTGCCTCCATCATCTGTTGGGGACCTCTATGCCAACCTGGTGCTTGGTTTCCTGATGGACAAGCTGGGGCCGGGTGGACAAATGGCAGGATGAGCTAAGGTCAGCTGTCTCTGCCCTCATGAGCAACCAGTTCGTTGGGATGAGGCCTCCAGGCTAAGAACTTAGGGCTGGCCTGGTGCTTCAACACAGGGCAGGGATAAGAAGACAAGGGGAGACAGTGGGAGCAGTGAGGAGAGAGTCTGTAGCTAACCTGCACACCCCCTACCACTCTTGGCCACTTAGGCACCATAAATAGAGAATACAATGTCCAGACCCTGGTTTCCCTCCCCACTTCCACTTCCTGTCTAGTCCACTCCAGCTGGTTTTTTTAAAAAATATATTTTTTACTGATTTTAGAGAAAGAAGGAAGAGGAAGAAAGAGATAGAAATATCAACATCAATTGGCTGCCTCTTGCATGCGCCCCCTGCTGGAGATCAAGCCCACAACTCAAGCATATGCCCTGATTGGGAATCAAACCAGTGACCTCTTGGTGCATGTGTCAATGCTCAACCACTGAACCACACCAGCCGGGCTCCAGCCAGTGTTTATGACACCCAGATGGCCTTGTCCTGGCCCTAGGGATTACGCAGCCTGTGTAGATGCTGTGGGTGAAAGTCTCTGCCAGCCCCAGGATGAGATCAGCATCCATTTCTCAATCTTTGTGTCTCCACTTCTGACCGCCCCCCAACCCTGGCAAAAAGCAGGTGCTGGGAGCTCCACACCAAGGACTAGGGAACAAAATCCTCTTCGTAGCACATCTACTAGGCCGCATGCCCACCCACACTAGGCAGTAGTGAGATTGACCTGGAACTGCAGCACAAGGAATGGGAGCAACACACTCTAGTGAGTGGAGAGATGTAGGTGTAGAGGTCCAGGGAACTGTGTAGCAGGCTGATTGTCCATCAGGAAGCTGGGTGAGGAGAGGAACAACTGTAGCTCAAGTTTTCAGCAGCTTCCATGGTGTGCCCATCCCTCACCAGAAGGAAAATTCATGCAAATGTTGACTTGGAAACTCAGACAGAAAGAAAAGAGGACTCCATCTCTTTGTCTTTGCCAGTCTCAAGATGCTGGTTCCCTGCCAGATGTGAGGCCAAGATGCATTCTATGTGTGGGGGTCCAGAACCCCATAGTCCCCCCAGAGAGCATAGAGCCTGCACCGCCTTAGCCCTTTCCATCTCCCTTCCTGCCTGTGAGCCAGGGCCAGGCAGGAAGATTGGGCCCACTCTGCTTCCTTCACACACCAGGACACTGTTCTAAGGGAAGAAGAGAGGGTCTCTCAAGTTCACAGCCTCTCCCCAGCTCATTTCTGGGGGTACTGAATCAGCTCCCATCTGCCTCCTTCCAACCCTCTTCTGGGCGATGCAGACTCTGCCTGAGGAAGGCTGAGAGCAGGAGGTGGGGAGATTGGGTGGTGTCCCTTTCTATAAGGGCAAGGGCAGTGTTGAACAGGAGGATGGGCAGGGAAAGACCAAGAGAGCTAATTGGGTCACCAAATGTTGACTTGAAGGATAAATTGGGTCATTTAAAAAATTATATGAAAAAACAAAACACATTCACTACCCTTATGTGGTGATCATTTTACAACATCTACATGTATCAAATCATCAATCTGTACACCTCAACCTCACACAATGCCACATGTCACCTGCATCTCAATAAAGCTGGGAAAGCATCCACACTGCACACACCCAGGACCCACAATTCTAACTGAGAAGAAAGTAGATGTCCCTAGTCAATCAATACTTGGAATCCAGGAGGAAGTGGGAGGCTCTGGGCTGGACTGGAGGTTGGATGGGAAGGTAGAGAACAGCCTTCACCTGTAGCAGTGGCTGTAAGGGGCTCAGTCTCCTGGGACTACCATGTATTGGCCTCTCCCAAGGACTAGAGGCAGCACAGAATGGGACAGGGGCAGAAAAAGAATGTGCACAGAGAGACTGTGAAGTCAGCCATGTGTGGCTGGTGGCATTGCACAGGATGGGCTCTTCATCCCCACAAATGTGCCCATTATGCAGTGGGCACAGCATGGGAATGGGTGGGTGGAATTAATCTTGAACCAAGAGAAGACACAGTTATGAGAAAGCAGCAGACTAATGTTCAGTTGCAGCCACAGCACAAGGTTGTGATTCAAGAATGAGGTATCTTTTTGTTGAGCCAATGCCTGGGCTGAGAGTGCCAGTTCATTTTGTACTCTCTGCCCTGACCATTATTTGAGATGAAAGTATCCACTTTCCCCTGGTGACACTGGCTCAGAAACTGCCAACATTGCTGCAGTTTGCCATCATGTTCTTAACTGAAGGTGAGCCCAACTGCAGTTGGTAGTGGGGGCAAATACAGATGTTATCCCCTGTTCTAGGGGATGGCACTGAGGCTGCTAGGAGCATCGGTGGTGGGTGGCTGATATGTGTGAGTGGGTGGTGCGTGGCTCCCCCTGCCTCATTGCACATCAAGTCCAGACTCTGATGTGGCCCCAAAAGTTCCCACTCTGCCGTCCAGACTATGACAGACAGCAGATCGTGATTGCTATATCGACAGGACCTGTGGTGGATAGCAGAAGTTAATCAGGGCCCCACCCGGAGTTAATCCAGGGCTCTACCACGAATTGTTTTCGCAGCACAACCACCAGCTGTGGGTGAAGTCAGAGCCCTCTGGAGCTGCTGCAGCTCTGAGATGGAGGGTCCCGAAAGTGGACCCTCAGAGCTAAGGACCACCAGGCTAACAGCTGCAGGTACATGTAGACTGGGTCTCCTTACCACAAGGACCCAAGTTTGACAGCTGGGTGAGGTTGGGAGCATGTTCTTCCCCAGACTGGCCAACAGTTTGATTTTGGCTTCATGAGACCCTGAGCAAGAAATCCAAACAAGCCACCTAGCTTCTGACCTGCAGAGCATGAACTAATGATGGGTGCTGTGTGAAGCATTGAGCCTGGACACCTGTTATGTAGTGCAGACTGGTACTAGAACTCTGCTTACAGGATGCTTCTCTTTCAGACCTGAAGAGACAGAATCTCATGAGCTGAAAGGCCTTCCATGTGCAGTTTGAGGGTCCATGCTAGTGCTGCTTTCACTAGCTAGTCACCAAGATCTTTAGATAGCTCTTCCAGCTCCCCACCTCAGCCTGCATCCCCAGTGCCACTTCTCCCTACAACCTGGTGCCTCTCTCTATCGAAGGCTAATTATTTTTTCTTTCCAAACCTCTGGCATTGCTCAGGTCTCCGCCTGCACTTAGCCACTGCCCAACCCCATACTTGGCCCACCTGCCCTGTCACTGTCACCTGTGTGGCCTTGGTTTCAGCCCAGCCCACTGTGTGACTCCCTTCAGCCTACACAAACTATAAAGATGGTACTCAGGACCTACTGGACTGGAAGGCCATGGCTCAGAGGAAGACACTGGCCAACAGATAGCTGCCTTCTCACTGATCTCCCATGGCACAGAGAGAACGAGTTCCAGTCTCTTCCTCTTCTCATAAGGACAGTGATCCCACTGTCAGGGCCCCACCTCCTAACACATCACATTGAGTGTCAGAGCTTCAACATATGAATTTGGAGGACATGGACATGTAGTCCATGACAATGAGTAGGATGTACATTAAATTAGTAAACAAAATCCACCAGCTGCCATTAAACTTATATAGCCCATTTCCATCATGGAACCATCATCAAGGGAGGACCTGTGTGGTGGCCCTTCCCTGTCCCCTGGCTGGTCGGCTTTGCCTGCAACTAGGGAACACTTTGTGCTTTGATTTTCCCAGCTGA